AACCCCCGCCGCACATGGCAGGCCCTAGCTGATTGGCATTGCAGGCCCAAGCCACCCCCGCAGCTTTGCATCCTGGGCAGCTGCCCCACCCTGGTTATGGCCCTGTCCTGGGGTGGTTTCGGTCGGATCCTGCCCCCCAGGGCTTACCTGGACTCCTGTTATCTTGACGACTGGGCCTAACCTGAGTGGCGTTGGGACCCCGGAGGCTGCAGTGCCTAGAGCAGGGAGGCAAGCTCAGCCAGCCTTGTGGGACAGGAGCCACAGGAATTACCACATCACCCTTCGAAACATTCTGGTGACCCAGTTTTGGGTCCTGACCCACTGGTTGAGAAGCCCTGCTGTATAGGATGAGTGGGAGAGTCAGGAGAGAATGCCACTTTTGTGGGAAAAGAACATTTTTCTGACAGGCTGAGGTTTCTTTAAGATGCAACTGTTTGAAGCTGCTCAGAGACCCAGAGTGTAGATGTAGTCCTACTGGAGACAGCTGAAGGCCCAGTCCTTCAAATCATTCCACGTGTCTAGCCCCTTGTATCCGCACCAAGCTCCATTGACTTCAGTGGACCCCACAAAGTTGCAGGAATATGCCCAAGCAGAATAGTTCATAGGATCAAGGCCTTAGTGGGCAGAGTACAGCAGTCTGCCTGCAATTAGACCTTCCTGGAAATTGCATCCTACCAAGCAACAGCTGGTAGTCAGCACAAGCTCGTCCTATGTGTACAGAGTAGTTAACTGAGATTGCCATTAAAAAATCAGCATTTAGCCAGTTACAGAGTATACACTTGAGAGGAAGGATGATCTAAGTAGGTAGGGTGTTAATCTAGGGATTGTGAGACCTGTGTTCAATTCCCTGCCCTAGACTTCTGTATGACCTTAGGCAAGTCCTGGCCCAGACCCTTGATGGTATTTAAGTGCCTCACTTCTATTGATATCAATGGAAATTAAAAGCCTAAGTACTTCTGAGGATCTGGGCCTTGGTGCCTTAGTTCCCCAAGTAGTATTTCCCTACCCCCAGCAATGTCGTGAAGCACTCAGATACTGTCATGAGGAGGG